CGCGTACGAGGCGGTGGTCGGTGCGCTGATGCGCGATGGAGAACGGGTGCGTCGCGTGCATACTGACCGTTAGGAGCGCGTGAACGGCGTGGTGTGGTACCTGGTCGGCGTGCTGGCGAGTCTGCGCCTGTTCCCCGAGGACATTGCGTGTGTGAGCATCATGATCCTGTCGTGGTGTGACCCGTGTGCGTCGACGTTTGGGCGGCTGTATGGGCGGTATACGCCGTCGATGCCCGCGCCGCTGTTTGCGCAGCGCAAGTCGCTCGCGGGCTTTTTGGCCGCGGTGCTGGCCGGGTCGCTGACCACCTATCTGTTTTGGGGCACGAGCCTGGCGCGGCGTGGCGAGCGTGCGTCGGGTCTCTCGTGGACGCCCGGCGGGACGGCGACGTTTGGGACGCGCCAGGCGCCCGGCCTGCTGCACACGGGCTGGACGGGCATCCGCGGCGGGTTTGTGGCGCGCGGCGATGCGTCGGTGTGGGCGCACGCGGTGGCGGCGGGCGGCGGTGCGCCGGCGGTGCCTGCGTGGCTGCTGTACGTTGCCGCGGGCTTGGTGGCCGGCGTGACCGAGTCGCTGGACCTGGGCGGCATCGACGACAATCTGTTCATCCCCGTGCTCAGTGGGCTCGGGATCTGGGCGACGCTATGGGTGTGGGGCCTGTGTGTGTAGCGCGCACGCAGGCGGGTGCATCGTGTTGTATAGACGCGCACCACAGTCCGCGCTCGGACGGTGCGCGGGGTAGATTTGGCTAGTGGCCTGCGTGCAAGCAGCTAGTGTGTGCGGCGCGCCTGGGCGCGGCCGTGGACGCGTGCGTAGAGCATGCCGTGGAAGCGGCGCGTCTGGTGCACCTGGCGCCAGACGTACAGGGCGAGGGCCGCGACGACGACGACGACGTTGGCGAGCACAAACTTGCCGTATGCGCGCACCTCGGCGCCGATGAACTTACCGCACGCGCTCCATCCGTGGACCGCCGGGGTGCTAGCGTTTGCGACGCACTGCACCGCCTGGCGGTTGTTGTACGGGCGGCAGTACGGGTAGGCGAGCTGCGGGTGAGCACGCGGGCGTACGTACGTCGTCCGCCGGGCACGGCATGCACGCGCTCACCGGCGTGCACGTGTACGCCGCCGGCGCCACGGCAAGCACGCTGGACGCGGCGGGCGCGGGGGGCGCGGCGGGCGCGCCGAGCCGCGTAAACGCCGGATCGCTCGACGCCATGCACGGTGGAGCGGCGACGCACCGGCGCAAGCGCATATTTCCCCACCAACACACTACGGAGCCGCCTGCTGCGCGCGCCACGCATGGGCGCGCTGGAGCAGCTTGAGCGCGGGCTGCTGCGTCTCTTCGTCCGGGAAGACGAGGTCGTAATACTGGGTGAGCGTGCCACGTACCTCCTCGGATGCGCCGGCGCCCTCGGCGATCTCGCGGCGCTTCTTCACGACGCGCGGCCACTTGGCCTGCACGGCGGCCACGTGCGCCTCGTCGCCGTGCTCGGTCTCAAACGCCTTCCACGCCTCGAGGAGGAGCACGCGCTCGTCCTTGAGCTGGTCGGCGCGCAGGCGGTCGTAGGCGCGCGCAAACAGCGCGCGCGACGCGTCGGCGGCCTCGGCGCGCGCCTGGTGCCGCGCGGCGAGCTCGTCGGCGCTCGGTGTGTAGGTGGCGCCCTGTGCCTCGGCCTGCTCGGCGGCGTCTGCGTCGGCGTCCTCCTCGAGTGCGATGGCCGCCGAGATCTTGCTCAAGGCGTAGCTAATCCACACCTTGACGTGCGCCGTCTTCTCGAGGAGGCGCTCGTACAGTGCGTCGACGCGCGCCCATTCGCGCTCGGCGAACTCGAGGTCGATGTACGCCTTCCAGACGACCTCGGGCATGTCGAGCCCGCCGGCCTCGGCTTCGGCCTGCTCGATGGCGAGCTCGTAGATCGCGCGCGCGCGCTCGAGGTCGAACAGGTTCTGCTCGAGCTCGGCGAACTGCACCCACGTCGCGGCGCTGCTGGCGTCCCACTCGAGCGCCTTTTCGTACAGCTTGCGCACGCGGTCGAACTCCTTGAGCTCGAGCTCGAGCTGGATGTACCCCGTGAACAGCTTGTGCTTCGGCGCGAGGCCGATCGCCGTGCCGAGGATCTTGCGCGCGAGCTGCACGTCGCGGCGCCGGATCTCGAAGTAGGCGTAGGCGAGCCACAGCTTGGCGAACGTAAACGCGCGGTGCGGCACCGCGGCGACGGCCGACGCGTACACGGCCTTGGCGCGCTCGAGGTCGCGCGTGTCGATCTCCTCGAAGAGCGCGTAGCGCAGGTAGAGGTAGATGTAGCGGCGCCACAGCCGCTTCTCGCTGGCGGGCGGCGCCTGCGCAATCGCACGCTCGTACACCTCGCGCACCTTGTCGCGCGCCGCGTCGAGCATCGACGCGGGCGCGCCCTGCTCGGCGAGCGCGCGGTACGAGTCCTCCTCGAGGCGCGTGTAGTCGAACCACGTGTCGTAGTTCGTCGCCTCGCGTGCCGCGTCGAGCTCCTCTTCGTACTGCAGGCGCCGCTTTTGTGTGACGGTATCCTCGACGCCCTGGATGTTGCCAAACTGCTTCTCGAAGCGCGTGTAGCTCGCGTAGATGCCCTCGCTCTTGGCGCGCGGCAGCCGCTCGAGCGCATACTTGTAGATCATCCGCGCGCGGTCGTACTCGGCCTGGCGCGTCTCCATCTTGGCGAACGCGGTGAAGACGGTCTGTGCGCGCTCGAGCGCCGCCTCCTCCTCGCCGAAGAAGTCGAGCGCCATGTGGAAGACGTCGCGCGCCTTGTCGAGCCGGTCGCGCTCCTCCTCGAATTTTGCCCAGCGGATCCACTGCCGCGGCTCGGGGTGGCACGTCACGGCGCGCTCCCACACGGCGCTCGCGCGGTCGAGCTCCTTGTAGCGCACCTCAAACGCGATGTACGCGTTCCACGCGCGCTCGTCCGGCTCCCAGCCCATCCACCGCTCAAAGATCTCGCGCGTGCCGGCAACGTTGCCCAGCAGCTCTTCGACGTGCACGTACTTGTACCACAGCTGGTCGATGCGCGGCAGGATCGCGACCGCGCGGTCGAACAGGTTGCGCGCGTGGTTGACGTTGCGCATCTTGAGCTCCTGCTCCGTGTACCGCAGCCACAGCGGCACATGGTGGGGGTTCACGTCCAGCGCGCGCTCAAACACCGAGCGGCAGCGGTCCATCAGCCCCTGGTTCGCCTCCCACGTCGCATACCGGATCCACGCGACCATCTGTGGTGAGTGTTTCGCCGACGCACATTGCCTCGTAGCCGGCGCACGGCATCCTCAAACTCGGTGCGCTTCCGTGCGCGGTATTCTTCGAGCTGCTCAAAGTCCTCGATGCGGTGCCGCTGGCTCTTGAGTTTCGGCTTCTCCTGGTTCTCCTGTGCCTCGCGCAGCAGCTGCTCCGCCGTGATCTGCACCGGCGCCGGCGCACGGTTCTTGATCTTGGGCGCATGGCCCTCGGCCGCCATGCTGCTCATCGCGCGTCGCCTCGCCGCGCGCGCCGCCGCCGGCCAGCAGGGTGGCGTGACGGGCACGTGACGTGTATCGGGCCTGGCGGCGCGCCAATCGGTCGGTCGCGGGGATATAGCCACCGGAAATCTTGGCACCGATGCATGATTGGCACAACGCAGGCCGGTCTGCAGCAGCCAAGCACAATTTCAGCCTGCTTCACTGGCCCTTGGGTCGGCGTGGAGTCAGGGCCGGCGCCGTCCCTTGCCTTTCGCCTCATGCCTACGCCGGAGCCACCGCCGCCCACCGAGCCGCCCGTAAAGCTCGCGTGCGCCACCTGCATCCAGGGCCACCGCGCGTCGACGTGCAAGCACCAGGACGGATCCAAGGGACCCCTGCTCGTCGTCAAGCGGCGCGGTCGGCCCCTGTCGCAGTGCCAAGCGTGCCGCGAAAAGCGCTTCAAGACCGGCCGGCACACCCGCTGCATCTGCGATGCGAAACCACGCTCCCAACGCAGCAACGCCACTGCCACCACCAACGCATCCAACGCATCCACCACCACCACCACCACCAAGGCACCCACCGCCGACGTCCCGGACAGCTCCGCACGCTCCGCATCGTCGCCGCTCTCGTTCGCCAACCTGCTCAACCCCTGCCGGTGTAAGCGCACAGGTATCTGTACGTGCTGCGACACCAACGCCTTCTACTCGGTGTGCTCCAAGGACGAATGCGGCTCCGCCTGCAACTCGTGCGGACCCAGCGCCGAGTGCAAAAAACCGATCGTTCAGGCACACGCGAGCAAACTCCCGCTGCCGCCAATTGCACCCAAGCCGGAACCCAAGGCGGAGCCCGAGTCGCCTGTACGCACGACACTGCCGCCGCTGCAGTTTCCCCAGACCGCATCGGTGTCGGGCAGCTGCTGCGCCCGCCGCGAGGCTGCAGACGAGGCTTACGTTCCCAACAAGCGCCGGCGCGAGGACACCATGAACCTCCTGGCCCAGGCCGCGGACATGTCCCGCCCATACGTGCCGCCGTGCACATGTGGTCCGGTGTGCCGGTGTGCGGGGTGTTTGAAACACACGCAGGGCCGGCCGTATACTGCTGCGCTGGCTGAGCGGCCGAACGAGCGGATGCGTGACTGTAATTCGTGCGTTGCGTGCGATATTCAGCTACGGAATCCCTCAGGCATCCCCTCGGTCGATCGCTGGATCTCGTCTGAGTCCATGCCGCGCGGCTCACCGGCATCTACGGCGCCCTCGTCGTACCTGAGCCTGTCACGACCTGTATAGAGTAGTTTGCTTTTCCTTTGTTTTTTCTTGTGTAGATTCACGTCACCCGGTTCTTCCCATACGGCTGGCCCCGGCGTGGGGGCGCCAATTTTTGGGTGTCATTTTCTCCCTCTCGATTTGCTCCGTTTAGGTCCGGCTTGGCAGTGCGCGGCTTAAAAAAATTTGGGACTGCGCTGTTTTTTTTTGTGACTCACGCTGCATAAGCGAGCTAGGCCCCGACCCCAATATCGGTTCTTTCACATGCAAAAAATTGGGCCCAACCGGGAATTGAACCCGGGACCTCTCCCAGACTCAGGGCTCCCCTGAGGGTTTCGTTTTTCCCGAAGGGAGTATAATACGACTATACTATTAGGCCGCTGCTCCTGGTGGGCCAGGAGCAGTGGCCGTATTTTACTCACACACGAATCCAAAGGCGCGGCGCGGCCGCAGTGCTTGCCTCCTCGCGCGCGCGTGCGCTGCGTTCGTCGCGGTGGGCCCGGCAAGGGACGGCGTGGTATGTGGTCAAGATCGGTGCGTACGTGGTGCTAATTACCAGAGTGCGCGGCGTTCGCGGCGCTGCTCCTGCGCAATGCGCTTGTTCATTCCCCACGTCGCGCGGCGGAGCTGCGTCTCGGCGTTGCGTGCGCTGCGCACCTCCTTGGGCGCCGGGGCGACCATGCTAATGAACGTCGGCGAGCACCCGAAGCGCTTGGCGAGCGCGCCCGCCGTGTTCACAAACGGGTCCTGCGCACGCAGCTGCTGCACCTCGGCGATCTGCTCCGCGGAAAGCACGCTGCGGGCGTCGCGCGCCTGGCGGTGGTGCTTGCGCAGCTTGGGCGGGAGCGCGGCGAGCTCGGCGTCGCTCACGGGCTCGGCGCGCGCGAACAGCTCGTCGGCACCGAACAGCGTAGCGCGGCTCGTCGGGGCCGTCGGTGGCGTGCGCGCCACAAACGTCTCGCCCGTGCGCAGCGGGAAGCGCGCCGCGTCGGCGCGGTCGAGCGGGTCGCGCGGGCGGCGCGCGGGCGTGTTGCGCAGCGCGCGGGCGCTGGTGTGGAGCGAGCGGCGGCCGGGCGCCGGCGCGTGCGTCGCAAAGGAGCGCGTGCCGAACTTGAAGCCCTTGGGCCCCTGCCAGGTGCCCTTGACCATCGAGTTGTAGTACACCCACGGGAAGAAGTCCTTCTTGAGGTAGTAGAAGGCGCGCTGCGGCTTGGCCTGGTCGAGGCCGAACTTGGAGAACGTCTCCTTGGGCGTGCCGCCGTACTGGAACTCGGCGAGGAGCACCTTGCCGTACTCGGTGAGCAGCGGGCACGACGTGTACCCGTCGTACTGCGCGTCGGGTGCCTTGCCCTCGATCGCCTGGAGCAGGTTGTGCACGAGCACCGGCGCCTGGCCGGTGATGGCCGCGGCAGTCTTGCTGGTCGGCAGCGAGCTGGCGTCGCCGATCGACCAGACGTTCTTGTACTTGACCTGCTGCAGCGTCGCCTGGTCCACGTCCACGAACCCGGCGGCGTTGGCGAGCACCGACTCCTGCACGAACTTGGGCGTGCTCATCTTGGGCGTCACGTGCAAAAAGTCAAAGGGGAGGCGCACCGGCTCCTGGTCGGGCACGTTGAACACGGCGGTGGTGCCGTTGTCCTCGATCGCGGCGAGGTCGTGCTTGAAGTAGCCGCCGGCGCCGCGCTCCTCGCGCAGCTTGTTGAGCACCTCGCTGTACTTGGGCACGCTGAACATGGTCGGCATGCCCGTCGCAAAGTCGATCTGGATCGGGGAGCTGGGGTCGTGCGCCTTGTACAGCCCCGCGCGCTTCCAGGTGTCGAGCGCGAGCCACATGATCTTTTGCGGCGCGCCCGCGCACTTGATCGGCGTAGCGGGCTGCGTGAAGATGGCGCGGCCCTCGCGGAGCGCCTTGATCTTGCCGTAGACCTTGTCGACGGAGTCGTAGGTGTAGATCGAAGCCACCTTGGACGCGGGGTCGGCGAGCGCCTCCTTGAGCCCCTTGATCGCATCGAGGCGGATCTCGAAGCCGGGCGCGACGATGAGCTGGTCGTAGGTCAGCTTCTCGCCCGAGGCGGTCGCGATCTGGTTCTGCTCCGGCGCAAAGGACGTGACGCGCTCCTGGTAGAACTTGATCTTGGGGTCAATCAGCGACGCCTCGGAGCGGCGCAGGCGCTCGCGGTCGGTCAGGCCACCGCCGACGAGCGTCCAGCCGGGCTGGTAGTCGTGCCACTGGCTCGGGTCGACGACCGCGATGTCGTTCGGGGCAAACTTGCCCGAGCGCAGCAGCTCCGACGAGACGGTGAGGCCGGCCGTGCCGCCGCCGACGACCACCACCTTGTGGGCGGCGTCCGCGGCACGCGCCGACGTAGAGAACAGGTGTGCAAGGCCCGCGGGCTGGCGGGCCATCTGCCGAGCACCGAGCAGCATCATCGTAGACGAGGGGCAGGGCACCCGACGGGCGTCTTCCGTGCACGTGACAATTGCGACATCGAGGGCCCCGAGCCCGCTATGTGTATGGTACAAGAGAGCGCGCCGCGCACACCATCGGTGCGGACAAATCAGAACGAGTCGTGGCCACGCGGCTCGTACGGGAGGAAGACCATGAGCACGGCGGAAAGAAGGAAGAAGGAGGCTGAGATGTAGATGGGCGCCGTAAATTCCTCGCTTTTGTACACGGCAATGATCGTGGCGACGACGCCAAACACGCGCTGCGTGCTCATCGACAGCCCGTCGCCCGTGCCGCGCTGCGGTGCAGGGAACACTTCGTAGGTGATTGCGTAAAGGATCGCATACATGGCATTTTGCGTGAGACTCGCGGCACAGTTCCACCCCAGCACCGCATTCGACGTCTTGGCCGTCGTGAAGAGGAACAAGAAGACGCCCGTCAGCGCGGTAAAGAACGCCATGCTCCAGCGGCGCCCGGCGTACGGCAGCTCGACCATCGCCGCCGCCATCAGGCTGCCGGGGATACCGCACACGGCGATCTCGACCAGCTGGCGGTACTCGTCCGAGAGCGAGTTGGCGCCGTCGCTGACGCCCGCGTGCTGCAGGTAGATGGCGATGAACGAGTTGTACAGCGGGTAGGACAGGCCGATCGCGCCCCAGCACGCACAGATCAGCAGCGTGTTGAGCGTCATCTTGGGCGAGGCGAACAGCGCCGAGATCGGCGAGCGGTGCATCGCGCGGTAGGTCTGCACGATGCGGCTCGGGCGCAGCGCGTCGCTCCAGGCCATCGTCTCGTACAGCAGGCCGCGTTTGGGCTTGGGCGGGCGCACCTCCAATGTGGACGCGGCCGTCTTTTCCTCCTTCTCAGCGCACGCCGCCTCATACGCCGTGCGGTCGCGCTCGACGTCGACCGTGTGCCCGAGCCCCGCGTGGCGCAGCTTCTCGAGGGTGAGCGAGGTGGTGCGCTTGTTCTCGCGCGCGATAAACTCGATCACCTCGAACGCCTCCTCGACGCGGTTCGTTGCGAGCAGGTACTTGGGCGACTCGGGGATCGGGTACACAAAGAACCGGATCACCCACATGAGCAGCACCACGCCGCCCAGCAGGAACCACGAGTAGCGCCAGCCGGCATTGCCCTTCCACGTGCAGTCGTCGGCGGTGGTGCAGTGGAAGTTGGTGATGAAGGCCCAGCCGATGACCGCCGCGAACAGCTGGCCGAGGGACCAGAAGAGCGAGAGGAAGGTCAGGATCCACTGGTAGGGCCCCGGGATGTACTCGATCAGCATCGCGCCGTCCACCGGCAAATTGCCGCCGAGGCCGAGGCCGAGGCAGCCGAGCAGGACACACATCACCGGGAAGCTGGGCGCGCCGCCGACCGCGATACCGAATGCGGCCGAGAGGAACAGCGAAATGTTCCACGACGGCCGGCGTCCGATGATGTCCGAGCACAGGCCCCAGAACGTGGACCCGATGAGCAGGCCGCAGTAGAGCGAAAAGGTCGCAAACGCGACGTGCGTCGGCTGGAACTCGAGCTTGGCCTGCGGCAGCGTCATCGCGAGGATCTCGAACCAGATGTTGTCCGCGAGCCAGCCGAAGCCCGCGAGGAAGGTGAGCTTGATCTGGAACGCGCCGAACCCGATCTCTTCGTTCAGCGCCTTGTTCACGAGGAGCACCTGGCGCTCGTACTGCGTCGAGACGCCGAGCTCGCGCGCGACGAGCGTGTGCGAGTCGACCGATTCCTCGTCGCCTCCGATGCGCATCTTGCTGTCGCTGGTCGGTGCATCGTCGGCGGCGTCCACGACGCGTACCCCTCGTGCCATGCTTGCGGAGGTGGGGGGAACGCTTTATTCGAAAGAAAAAAACGCGCAGCGCGTTCGCCGGAGCCCAGCACGTGACACCATGTCCACCCTCGGTCGTTTGTCAGGGTCTGTGCTTCTGCGTGCGGGGGTGCGCTACGCGTCGAGCTATGTGCCGCGCGCGGCGGCCGCGTCGAGTGCGGCGCGCAAGTCCGCGCCGGCGCCTGCGACGCCCGCGGCGCCCGCCACACCAGCGCCGGCGCCGGCGCCCGCGACGGAGCGTGCAGCGGCGCCCGACGCCGAGGCGCCGTCTGCGCCCGAATCGGGCGCCGAGGTGGACTGGACCCAGGGCTACGACGGGATCGGCCGGCGCCCATTCACGAGCGAGACGGCGCGCATCCTGTGCCAGCCGCTGGACAAGGACGACATTGAAATCAAGCCGGACGGTCTGCTGTACCTGCCCGAGATCAAGTACCGGCGCATTTTGAACCGCGCGTTCGGCCCCGGCGGGTGGGGCATGGTGCCGCGCTCCGAGCTCGAGGTCGGGCAGGGCATCGTGAGCCGCGAGTGGGCGCTCGTGTGCCTGGGCCGCTTTGTGTCGACGGCGCGCGGCGAGCAAGAGTTCTTCCGGCCGAGCGGCGTGTCGACGGCGAGCGAGGGCGCCAAGTCGAATGCGCTGATGCGGTGCTGTAAGGACCTGGGCATTGCGTCGGAGCTGTGGGACCCGCGGTTCGTGCGCCAGTTCAAGGCGAAGCACTGCGTCGAGGTGTGGGCCGCCGGCTCCGACGGCAAAAAGCGCAAGCTGTGGCGCCGCAAGGACGACGGCCCGCTCGAATACCCGTACAAAGAGACTGGACTTGCCAAGTAGCTGTCTATTTCCGCCGTTTCCCCGCGCCGCCCTTGGCCTTGCTCCGGTAGGCGCCCGCCTGGACGACGTCGTCGTCGCGGTCGCGGTCGTCCTCGAGGTTGGCCGCGAGGCGGCGCTTGCGCTTGCCCGCGCCGCCCGCGCCGCCGAGCCCCTTCTCCTGGAGCTCGCGGAGCGCAGCGCGCTGCGCCTCGCCGACGCGTTCCGAGAGAAGCATGACCATTTCGCGGTCGCGCGCGTCGGGGAACTCGTCGAGCTTCTTGTTGATCGCCG